ATCTCGAGCCCTAAACTTAACGGCCTTTCTCTCAAACTCCACACTAAAACCCATTCGCGATGCGAAGTTCTCGTTGCCACATGAAGTGCCCTTCTGACGTACCGTGCTCAGCCCCAGAGGGATGCAAAAGGCTCGCCCGGCATGAGTCTCACTTTTGCTATCTTGTGCGAGGCGTTGCTTTCCGTCTGTTCATGAAGCACTTCATTGATTGCCATGAAGTTTTGGCCTCTGGGTCACTCATAGGCAGTGCAACAGTAGAGGCACAGGCCCTTCATTTATCGCAGGCCGCCAGCCATTAGAGCATGGGCAAATCAAAACCCAAAGGTGGCAAGAGCAATCGCAAGTCGAAGGATAAGGACAGGAGGCGGAGGAGAAGCTCGTCTTCTTCTTCTTCGCGCGAGAATCCCCAGGATGCGGAGCTCGAGGCATCTGCGGCAGAATTTGGATTGAGCCTTAAACGCAATACGAGTGTCAGTGTTGTCATGCCTGTCATCGCAGTGCTCCTGGCTGTTGCTTCCACCCGTCCAAGGAACGCTCAGTCACTGAAGCTCAAAGCCAAAATGTCTAAGCTGTCAGACCTGCCGCCTGCAGTGCTAGCAGCCAGTGTGAGCAGACTCGTCCCACAGCTTACGGAGAATGCCTTGATGAAGATGGGGGGCAACCTGCTCGAGGCTTCATCTTGCTCTGTACTTTACCAGTGTGCTTGGCAGTTGCTTCCTTCAGCCACTGCTAGCTCTTGTTGCGATTTGTAGCTCTCGAAATGATTTCGGGAGGTGCGGCGGAGAAGCAAGCAGACTTGCAGCCTGGACACCAGTGCCGAGGGATTGAAATTGAAAGTCACGCTGACGCAGAACGAAGCTGCTGCCGAGCAAGATTGGAAGAATAGGCTTCTTAAGCTGACTGAAGCAGGCCGGGGTCATGTTATGTTTAGGTTCTGAGCAGACTCTGTTTCGTGAGGGCTTGGCATTTAGGGTGTTGTTGAACTTCCTTTCCTTTCAACTGTATTCTGTGGCAGTCACCGGCTTGGACGGCATGACGCTGATCTCTCAGCACAAGACTGCTGGTAGCCTTCGGAGGAGCAGAGATGCTTTGTGTGAGAGCCTCTACACCTTGAAATCCTGTTGTGCTGTTCTCGTTCTCAGTGCTTGTGTTTGTTTATCTGCTTCTCCATGAGGACTTTCGATGCAGAGGTCCAGGCCGCTCGTGCCAAGGCGGAAGAGGAGGTCAAGGCATGGACGGCTGCCATTGACAACATGGTCCAGGAGTTGCAGAAGGAAGCTGGCCAGGATGAGAAGAGCGAGCGAGATCCGACCAACCGGATTATCCGTCGGCAGTCCACCCGGAATCTCCAGGTCGACAAGCAGCTGGAGGAGGAGGAAGACTCGCCTGGTTGCCAAACCCCAGACAAGGTCAAGAAGTCATCTCGGGCATCGGACGTCAAAGGACCCAAGGCCGCTGCAGCAGAGTAGCTGCCCTTGCATAGGATGAACACTTGTTGTACTTCTGCGAACTCCTGTGCCACTGCCATCTCTGCGCTGTCCTTACGCAGGCAGAGAAACCTGGTTCGTGGAGGGATCAAAGCTGTCGAAATGGCGAGTGGCAGATGACTGATGACGACGACCTCTTCAAGGACCGCTTCGGCACTGAGAAGAAAACCTCGACCCCGGGGAGCACGCCGGGCAAGACGACGCCGGGAGCGACACCTGTTGCAACCGGTGAAGGAGAGAACTCAGGCTCCGACAGCACCTTGCGGGATTTCTTGAAGGATGACCTCGCCCGCTTCTTTGCTTCCAAGCAGGACGCCGAGCTCTTCCTGCAAGCAGCCACGGAGGATGGCTTGGCGACCTGGTTTCATCTATAGTTTTTCTGACTCTCCTGTCCTTGTCTTTCCATCCATATTGAAGCATCAACTCGCACACCCGGCCGTTTCTTTGCCTGGTTTACCCGAGGTCTCCATCAAGGAGTTTGTGCAAGCTCTCAGAGAGGGATGGTGTCTAGATGCCATGGGAAAGAAATCCCGTGACATTGTTCAGGCTATGAGCTGGATGGGTCGTCAAAGCCTCAAACGGTTTCTGAAGTTTCTGTGTACCGACATGGAGTCCCGGCTCCAACCAATCCGAGGTATTCAATACTGAGAGATAGGGGACCTCTGAGCGCATGTCTTGCGGTCTGTGCTTCAGCAACAGTTGATCTCAGGAGGGTCTCGTGCACCGTGCCGCGAAGCATTATGCCCGCAAGCTCTTTGGGCATGATGATGATGACCATCCTCGGGTTCCTGAGCCCAGTGAGTGGCAACTTGCACGGGTCCCGGGTGGGTGCGGTAATTAAGCCCAGGTCCCCGGGAATAAGCACATTTCGGTTACCGAGGGTGGGTTGTATGCACATGACCGTACAAAGCACACTGCCGTCATTGCGACCGAAAACGACCCACAAAACTGCTTCCAAACGAGCTGCGAGTGGTGGCTGGTGCTGCCCTTGCCACCACGAAAGAAACGTTTGATTTCAATTTTCTTGCCTCGTGGGGTCCATCTACATTTTCCACCTTAGGCTGTGGTTTATGCCGTTGCCCACGCACGACAAAGGTGTCTGATGTTTTGCAATCGGTTCTATCCAGTTGAAGCCTCAGGCAGGGCTTAGTTTAGGGCTTAAAGCTTTAGGGGCCCTCCCAAACTAAACTTAAGCCTAGGGGCCTGGGCCCTAAACACTGTAAGCCGAACCCTTAAGCCTCAAGCCTGCTCAAACCGTAAAAAGTTTTTGTCGGCCGTCTTTTTTCCCCAGCGCCATGAGCCTCATGTTTAAAGGTTTGGAGATTCATGGCCTTAGGGCTTAGGCCTCAGGCTTAGGGGGTGAGGGGTCACCGTCGGAATCTCAAACCTTGCGTAGGCGCAAACGTACTCAGGATGCAGGATCCAGGCTGCAGCTTGTGAAGCTTTCAAACTGAGATTTCGCAACTTGAGGGCGCTTAGGGCAAAGTTTGGGCCTCCAGTGGGTTAGTGGCAAGTGTGTAGAGACTAGGTGACTAGGTGGATATAGTATAGAGGTATGCGGTTATGTCGGTTATTCGGATTCTGGGTTCTAAACAAGTGCCAGTCAGTAGGCTCAAGGCACCTGGAGGGGGCAGGCAGGTCGGGTCAGGACAACACCAAAAAAACAACAAGAACGGCAAAAACTCGTGCCTGGCAAGCTGATTGACCCGACATACATCGCAAATCGTTTATGTTGCAAGCCTGTCCTTAATTACCGGGGTCCGGCCTTAATTACCGGACCCCGGCCTTAATTACCGACCCCCCCTCGGTAATTAAGGTTTTGGACCGGCCTTAATTACCGGACCCCGGCCTTAATTACCGACCCCCCCTCGGTAATTAAGGTTATGGAAGCATGTTTTGGTGCATTTTCGAGCGCTGACCCCGTCAAAATGAGGGGGTCAGCGCTCGAAAATGCACCAAAACATGCTTCCAAAACCTTAATTACCGAGGGGGGGTCGGTAATTAAGCCCGGACCCCGGTAAATAAGGCCGGTCCAAACCTTAATTACCGAGGGGGGGTCGGTAATTAAGGCCGGGGTCCGGTAATTAAGGCCGGACCCCGGTAATTAAGGACAGGACCCCTGTAATTAAGGATGGATCTCGGGAATTAGACCGGATCCAGGCGCAGGGCTTAATTACCGGACCGCTCTCGGTAATTAAGGTTTTGTGCGGCCGAAGGCAGGGCTTCGAGTTTAGAGTTGAGGGATCAGGGTTTAGGGTATGGGGTTTAGGTTTAGGGATCACGGTTTAGGGTTTGGAGATCAGGGTTTAGGGCAATTTAGGGTTGAGGGTATGAGGTTTGTAGGGCTTAGGAATCAGGGCTGATCAGGGTCCAGGTTTTAGTGAGATTAGGGCGATTAGGGCTAGGGTTTTTAGGCTTCGAGTTTAGGGTTTGGCTCCATTGCAGCAGAAACAGGAACAGGTAACAGGTACAGGTAGTAACAAACCACCCGCAATTCTAATTTAAACCCATAAGCCCTGGCCCTTGACGAATCCATAAACCTCAACTGCCTCAACTGTTGATCTCCTCAAAAAGGAGCCTGCTGTTGCTGCTGTTGGGGATTAAGGGTGTTTTTTGAGTGTTGGCACGGAAGGGCACACGATAGCGCGAATTCGTTGTCGAGACATCTGTCTGTGCGACGACGACAATTTCCTGATGATTCCTGATGATGCAATGATGCGCTGATAACATGGAACAAGCCAACAGACGACACATCACGGGCCAATGCGGCTCAAAACTTGAATTTCCGCCTGCAGTTCAAATTTTGACGCAAACGTTAGGGTGGGCATGAAAATGGTCCAGTCCCTAGTCCTGTTTGAATGCAATCCGTCGTCGTAGTCCTCATCCTGTCCATCACATATCAAGGCCGTTTGAAAAACACACGCTCACTTTTGCTGCGTTCAACACCGAGCCCCTCTGGACCGGAACATCACTGAAAACCCACGTGCAGCACGAGCCCGGGGCTTAATCACCGACCCCCCCGGGACCCGTGCAAGTTGCCACCAGTGAGATTCCGCCATCTGACGCCCAGTCGCCTCATGAGGTTCCCCAGGCTCAGCCCAAGAGATCCACTCTGCAAATGGGCAGTGGTAGTTCCGCCGGCTCTAGCTCGGATGGTGACTGATGTGCTCACCATGCATACATGTCGTGTCTCAGCCATCCAGAGTCCAGAGCTGTCCTTCTGCTTCTCTTTGCGTCTCTTTCAGTGTCCGATACCGGACACTCGCCTCATGGACGAGGATTGTCATCGCACGAATAGCCCGAGGGTCTTGACGCGGTCCGTCCCCGCGGCAGCCACAAAAAATATTGCGATGACGACGGCCTCTGGAGCTATTTGCTTTGATCCTTTGCTGGCCCATGGAAATAGATGTGTGGAGCAGTGAATGCTGCTTGGCCTGCTCTGCTGCCGGCCGTTCTTGCTCCAAATTTTTTGTAGCTACTGTTTGCGAGTGATGCTTCTGTAGCTTCTAAGCCATGCCCCCATTGCCGATAGATGCCACAGTCGTGCGGATTCCTTGGCTAGAACGCTCCCGATGGAAGCGATACGTGAAGCAGAAAGTAGGCGGGCCTTGGCTCGAGTCCGACCCTGACCGCCGCGACATGATAGAGTGGGCTTTTGTATTCAATGTTGGAGAAATGTGGCACAGAGAAGAAGCTTTGTGGCTGATCATCGACGATCGTTGGGAAACCCGGGTACTGATTGCGAATTACTTCGAGATGCACTACGAAGCACTCCGCTTTGTGTTTCCCAGTGTCATAGATCTAAACTCCATGGATTGAAGCCTGCCGTGTCACGACGGCCAGACTCAGAGACGGGCGCGCGAAAAATTGAAGCATTCGGGCAGCCTGCATCCACTCTGCAAGCCGGAGCAGCCAGTGAATATGATCAGTCCACGTTATGTTTCGCCCCTGGAATCGGACCGCTTCTGGTGATTCTGGCTCCCGGCTCAGGCCAGAATCGTTCTCGCGAGCACAATCGTTCTCGTGACGCAGAATCGTTCTCGCGACCAGAATCGTTCTCAGACCCAGAATCGTTCTCGCGACCCAGAATCGTTCTCGCCATCTAGAATCGTTCTCGCGACCCAGAATCGTTCTTGCCCCCCAAAGTGGCCCAAAGAGGGCCAGAACGATAACGGCCAGAATGGGGATAGTGAGGTTTTTCTCCAAACATTCCCATTAGATGCGATTATCCTACTGGCCTCCATTTCAGAACTTTTCCCATCGTTGGTCCCCGGCGGGGTGCCGGGGCGGCCATGGCGACGAGAACGATTTTGGCCCAGACCGATGAAGAGGCCGAGCAGCCGGTGCACGCTCACAGTTCCTCCCCGGGTCTCCTCTGGCTCTCTGGCTCGCTCCGAGTCCCAGTCTCCCGATACTTCTCTCCGGTTCCACCGAATAGAGAGTTTCTGTCCCGGTACATCTGCCTTTCTCTGCCTGTCTCTGTCTCTCTTCATCTCTTTCTTTCTTCTCTTTCTAGACCTTTCTTGTGTTCCAGTATAATCCCACAATGTCTTTTTCTGTGCCTTCTTCAGATTTTCCTAGATAGGTCCGTACTCGGAGAGCTTTTCCTTGCAATGTGAAACAAAAGCGAAAGTCATGTTGTAGGGGGCCCACGCCGCCGCGGCTTATGATGCATTGAAGCAGTCAGACTAGGAAAGTCTCCTTCGGTTTACGGGATGCAGTGGTCGTGTCTTTAGGCTGTGCTGCTGCCAGGCCTGGTTGAGCGGTGTCAAGAAGTTGCTACAGACGCTTCCTCTGGAAGCTGCAGAGTCCGACAGCAGCACAGCCTTGCTGGAAGTTCGCAGAGCGATTGCTCTCCGACGGCAATCGTTCATGCCGGGGAGCTTTGAAGGCTCCGAGGCTGATCGTAGATCAGCCAGTGACCGCTTCGAGAGCCAGATATGTTCCCTCATAGAGATGTACGGCTCCGAGACTCCTTTCGCCCCGAAGCCTTGGATTCCAAGTGCAGTGCAAGGCCCGTCTGAGAATGAGCCTGACGAGCTACCGAAAGGTGTGGAGGACGAGAAACGTTCCCTTCCACATGTTTTTCGTTTTCTTCCCAACGTCACGGGAGTCTGGACTGTGCTGCAGGCACAAGCGGGATTGGTTTCCAGAGTTTGCGTCTGCCTTGTTCATAGTCCGTGGATGTTCTTTTCGTAAACCTGGCCTTTGTACTGTGCCAGGTGGACGAAGCTTCTGCTGTCGAAGGGTACAGACACTTCATCGCTGTGGCCGAGTGGTACCGCTTCAAAACCCCATTTACGCAATGGTTTACAAAGAACTACTCGGGAAACTTCTTGCCGCTTGCACACATGCTAGAGATCGGTGGTGGCCATGTCCGCTGCTCTGTTGTTTTGTCTGCTGCTTTGTGAATTGCCGCGGCATCTGCACAGATAGAGGTTACCCAGTCACTTTTGTCTACGCCCAGGTTGCCCGGCGAACAACTTACAAGGGTCAAGTCAAGGATCTGACATGCCTGCCGGTGGATGCCTGCACCGTGCCGGGCATCCTCGTCCTGCTGGCGACGCTGTTGCCTACTGCGAGTTTCGGGCCAGAGGGAGTGGCCGAATCTGTGTCGTTTATGGAGAGGCTCGAGCAGCACATGAACATGAACCAGTCTGTGCAGCTGCTGCCCTTTGCACAAACTTTCAAAGTTGATGTTCGCGAGAACAAGCTGCCAGTGGAACAGATCAAAGCCATCCTCTCCGACCTTGGCCTGAGTTGGTCGAGGTAGGTCTCCCGCATGTTTGCATGTTGTGAGTGTCAGCGCCGCTGTGGCCTCTGCTTGTCCTGCAGGTTTGCGAAACGAATGACTGGCAGCACCATCGGCATCATGATGCCTTTCAGTGTGTTCTTGACCACATCCTTTCGTTTGAAGGGAGACCCCGAGTTCTGCAATTCTTTGGGCTTTCGCCGCTTAACCAAGCGGGCAGCTCACATCTGGGCACAGGAGGCTGAGCTGACACTGGAACGATGTGTCGTCGTAGACTGCCCGGACCCGACGCTGGCAACCAAGTACCATCCTTTCATGAAGAGCTCCCGACGCAGAGGCAACAAAACACTTCGCATGCACATGGTGAGCCGCTTCTTGTGCAGAGGTGCTGGGTATATTTCCATGAAAGACGAGAAGAGCTTGGGTGACTTAGGTGTCGTAGATGCAAAGAGCACCCTGGCCGACCGCACATCTTCGGAGTACGTTGGACGCCTTCTGTTGAAGGCGGAGGCCACGGTGAGCGATTGCCTCCAGAGACAACGCCTTCGGTGCTTGAACTTCTGCTTCGACGCGACGTCGTTTGCTGGCGAGCAGGCCTGACGCCTAAGCCACTGAAATCATGAGTAAACCCGAGGCTGAAAACCAGGCCCCTACCCTAAACCTTGAACCTTGCAAGCCTTCACCTTGAACCAAGCCCTCAGCCTGAGTTGTGAGATCGCATCAAAAAAAGTTTACAATGCAAGAGAGACAGAGAGAGATAGGGAGAGATAGAGAGAGAGAGAGAGAGAGAGAGAGAGAGAGAGAGAGAGACGGAGATAGAGACAGAGCTAGAGCTGGAGAGCTAGAGATAGAGAGATAAATAGATAAAGAGATAAAGAATTAAAGAGATAAAGAGACAGATAGAGAAACATAAACGCAGAGCAAATACAAGGTAAGACCTGAGAGAAAGAAACGTGATACTCATAGAGGAAGACATGTTTCCTTCCACAAGCGCTGAGAAACAGAACAGGAGCGAGACAGGAAGAGACGGAGAGAGAGCAACCCAATACAGTTCAAAAACCAACCTGCCGGCCACTGTGAACTGCCATTATTAAAGTCGGTCGCAGGTCTTGTCGGTCGTCTACCGGATGGACGGTCTTCATTTCGCTGGAGCAACGCAGCTCCTGCCTGTGAACACTTGCAGCAAGACGGAGGCAGTGGCAGCAGCAGTTGCATTGTCAAGTTGCTTGGAAGGTGTCCTCCCAGACAATGCGAAGTCCAGGTTCGCTTTGCCCAAGGATGCACATTCTTTTCGAGAATTTCGCACGCCCACGAAGCACTTGCTGTCTGGCTTAGCAAACAGTTTACAGCAGGCGATGCCTGCAGGCTGGACCCTCCAGGGATGCATCCCGCCGAACCCCCTGCTGCCCGCTGCACGTGGCTGTGATCGGTTGCCCTTCGAGGAGGTTGAGAAGTCGCTCCTGAACCCGAAGCTTGCCCAGGACGCCAAGGTCTACTTTGTGTGGGATCCTGAAGCATCTGAAGGACGCCAAGACTTCTATGTTCACGAGGACTTTGTCCGTCTCGTGTTTGGGGCGGACGAAGGGACGGAGGCAGGAAGGCGACACATAGAACACGTATGTAGCTGTTTTAAGTAGCGGGTTGACTTGATCCCACGTTCGGTTGAATCGGACACCCCAGGGATTCGTTGGCTGGCAACACCTGTGCTCCCAGAACCTCTGGGCAGTTTTCTGGCCAGACTTGTTTCACAAAGCCGCCCGAAAGGCGGGCTCCGCCATACGCCGACTAGAAGAAGGACCCCAATTCCTCCGTCGACTGATGACTCTATTTCGCTTTTCACGGGGCCCCTTCAAAAGCAGTCGCTTTGGTCGCACCGTGGCAGAGGCCAGGGATCACTTGCTGCGGTTGCTCAAGGAGGATCCGAATTCAGACTTCGTTCAGCTCTGGCTCACCGGTATGGCGAAGGATGAGGCTGGATGGTGCAATGTCGGAGGCCCCGCCTCCTCGGACTTCTCCGGCACGCACGCCGTGGCTCTGCTGGAGAAACGCAAAGGCCATTCTTGGAAAACACTCGTTAGCAGCATGATGCATGTGCAGTTGTGAGTTAGCCCCAGCTCGCAGGTGTCATGCACTTGCGAGCTGACACAGCGAAGGACGTACGATGGTTCAGCTTTTACGATTATGCCGTCGCATTAGACAAATGCTGGCATACCGAGGCCATGGCACACTGTTTCTCCCTCTTCGTCGAGGGGAAGAATCCATGGGGTTTGAATCGCACTGGAGATGCAAGCGAAGACAACTTCTCGGCTCGTGTGGCAGCCTGGCATGTTCGCTCCCCGGTTGTTGCAGCCCTTTTGCAGGATATCATACAATAGGGCCTTTTTGTTGAAAAGTAGAGATACTATCATTCGCCCAGGTGCTTGCTGACGACACCAATCAGGACAAGACACGTGCTTTCATCGTGGTTTTCAAAGCGCTCCGAATTTACGTGGCCGACTGTGTGCCTGATCCGAACATTGGAGGGCTACCCCCCAAGTATCTCCATGTTGTTTGGGTATGTGGCAGCATGAGCCAAACTTCAAACAAAAGATCAAGCCTGAGGCAAGAGATTTTCAGAACAGTGGCTCCGCCTCCATGAGCCACTACATCTCTTTGGCGACGGGCAAAAAAGTTGGCAAGTTGATCGTGCCCCTGGGGCTACGACACAACAGAAACCTTTGTAGTCCGTCTGTTCCCTCAGGACTTTTGTGGGATCCCTACCATGATGTTGCTAGTAACTCTGAGGAAGACTTTTGAGAATGCTGCGAAGGGGAGTGGCCTGGTCTACTGTGGAGCCACAAGCGACGAGGAATCCCTCGAATGGGTGGCGAAGCTTTTCCTGTTCCAGATCGATGCCCTGTGTGATCTCGATGCTGTCTATCGTTCTTTTCCCTGGGCATCTATTGCATGCCTTCACGAGTCCTCCAAGGCAGCAACCCTTCAGAGCATGAGAATGGAGTGGGAGTTTGTGCGAGACTGCATTGACAAGCTGCCTTCTCAGCACGAGCTCTACTGGCTCTTCTCCTTC